ACCTCCCAAAATCCGCACGTTCCTAACCCCAGAAACCACTAAACAGCTCATCCACTCCCTCATCATATCACGACTCGATTACTGCAACTCCCTCTTCACTGGCCTGCCTCACCGCTGGGTATCCCCGCTTCAGTCGATCCTGAATACAGCAGCCAGACTCATTCACCTTTCCAACCGCTCCATCTCCACCACCCCCCTCTGTCAATCCCTCCACTGGCTTCCGATTGCGCAACGGATCAAATTCAAAATCCTAACGCTGACGTACAAAGCCGTCCACCATACTGCCCCGAACTACATCACTGACCTAATATCCAAGTACCGCCCAGCACGCACACTCCGCTCCTCACAAGACCTCCTTCTCTCTAGTTCCCTGGTCTCCTCCTCCCATGCCCGCCTCCAGGACTTCTCCAGGGTGTCACCCATCCTCTGGAACTCCCTGCCCCAACCCATCAGATTATCACCTACTCTCCTCTCCTTTAGGCGCACCCTGAAAACCCATCTCTTCAGGGAAGCCTACCCCACCCCCTGCTAACTTGCCGACCTCCTCCACTCTTCCTACCACTCCATCCCCCACAGCTATCTCCTCCTGTGCCACCATCCCCTCCCTCCTAGATTGTAAGCTCGAAAGAGCAGGGCCCTCAATCCCCTCGTGTATCGCATTGTATTGTTACTGTACTGTCGCATGTTCTGTCCCCCTTTGTAATATACAGCGCTGAGCGAACTATCGGCACTTTATAAATACAGTATAATAATAATAATATACAGACTGATTTTACTGTTGTGAGGTTAGTAACACTTTAAAAAGATTACAGAACCAATGAAAAGTAAATATGGGACCATAGACCAAACACAAAATAAATAAAATAATAAAAAATTCCAGAGACCATTACTGTGGATTAAATGGCCCGGTGGCCCTTTTTTATTGCCATAAACAATTACAATAATAATAATAACTTTTATTTATTCATTTATGACCAGCTTTAATACTTATAAATTACCAACAACAAATACCAATTACATACTAAAATAGCTCAGCCATTAAAGCTCAAACTATGTTGAACAAATAAAACAACATTCCCCTCAACTGAAAGGGGCAAGGCCACATAATAAAGGCCGCAACAAAACAAGGGGGGGATGCTTCTTCTCTCGTTCTTGCCGTTCTTCTTCTGACAGTTAAACTCTTCATTCTTCTTATAGGTTCTTCCAATCACCTGACCAGCGAAGAAGACTCCAGAAATTTTAAATAAAGTAGACAAAGGTAAGTGCCTTTAAATTATTTAACAATGAATTGCCTCTTTGTGTCATTCCTTGTCCCGCAGGCATGGGTCGCTATGTTTGCGCTCCCCTGCCTTTCATTCTATGCACACAATGAATAGTTAACATAGATTTTTTTTTTTCTAATTTTAAGGCGCCTATTGCCCTTGGGCTGAAAGCCAAACAAAAATGAACAGTTGTGATGTCCAGTAGATATGAACTGTCACAAGATTAGTTAATGGTGTTACATAGGAAATGAGGGCTATCTCAACAGAAAAAAAAAACAGATTTATGTATCCCTCACTAGATGTACGTGGCATGCTAGAAAATGCAGGTTCACACAAACGTCAGAAAATGTCTGAAGAAAAAATGCTTGCATGTGTCCATTATGGATCCATATCAAGGTAGGATAAGTTTAATTTTTTACAGTGGCATTTGTTTTTATATATTTTTCTACGTTTTCTTTACACTGCCCTTACATTTTATTGAGGGCTTGCTAGTTCATTTCTTTAACTAAAGAAAAGAAATTAAAGGCACTGAACTGTGATCAGTGGCGTCCTGAGGCAGGTGCGTGGGGTGCGCACCGCAACGGGTGACACCTACCACACGGGGTGACACCGGACCCGTTGCACAAAAAGGTAAGTTGTAAAGCAAGCCGATGATCCCCACAGGATGGATCGGATCTGCGGATTGAGCATAATGGATCGGACTCCGATCCATTATGCTCCCCAATCCTCAGATCTGCACCATGATCAAAAAGCTATGTTTGAGCAAAAAAAAACTATTTAAAAAAACTTGGAACAAAAGTAACCAGATTAATTGTATTTGAATTATGCTACACAGTAACACTAAAAGCTGAATACTTGAAGCCGTATTAAAGCCAAAATCAAAAATGTAATATATTACAGCTTACCAGTCATTAGATGTGGTGGTTGCATTAGTTTACTTTTTTAAGCTTTTTCCCCTCTGTTTTGACCTCTGGCCAGTAATACACCTCCACTCTGGATGAAGGAGCACAGGGGCACCTTTGTTGAGCAGCATTGTCAGTCTGGGGTAGGGGAGTGTTAGATGGACTAGCAGACTTAGATACACTAACAAATACAAGCCAAACTCCATCTAACACTGTAGTTACACAAGCAGTTACAGCAACAGCTTTTTTTTCCTTTTTGGGATAAAGGTTTTACATGAATAAATAAAAGCTGATCATTGCAAGCACCCCTGACAGTAATAAATGGTTTGTCTCAACACTCTTAACTGATACATTTGCAGGAGAGATTTTGCTGATGTTATATTTGTTATGATCTGGCATAATTTTGTATATACTGTATTTAAATGGTTTAATCGGTTTTACTAAACACATAATCTAGGCTAGCTGGTTACTTTTGTTTGAGTCTGTAAAACTTATTAAGCCCCCAATCACATCGGGTGCGATTTGGCATGCAATTTGCATGCCAGGCGACTTGCAAATTGCATGCCAAGTCGCACCCTATTGTCCACAATTACTGCGGTCAAATCGGTGCGGTTCCGACTTGGTCGGAGCCGCACCGATTTCTAAAGTAGTACATGCACTACTTTTTGTGCGATTTGCATAGACATCTGTGTCAGATGTCTTGCAAATCGCACTTGAAATCGGCTTTGAAATCATGCAACTTCACTGTAAGTCGCATGATTTCAGTCGGATTGGTGTGACCGAGGTTTTAAGTTTCACAAGGGCTTCACCTGCTGGCCACTTAGTGAATTACAGAACATCAATATGTATTATTCCCAAAAATGTTTTAATATTTATGTTTTACCATAATAAAAATATATACAAAACTAATTTACATTTAATTTAACAGGAAAAATTGCATTTTAAGTTTTTGGTTTCACGCTTGCAAAAAGCGATTTTGGGAAACATCTCTTTTCAAGGAGAAAATTGCACAAATGGAGGCATGTAACATAAACAAAAAAAAATATCTTTTCTGGGGTTGGAAAGGGGGGATTATAGGGACTCTGACATTTAATTGGAGATCAGCTTTAGGATAACAAATGTTTGGCAGGCGTGGGAAAAAAAACAAGTGTAATAAAAATGAGAGAACGTTTGTCCTGAAAAATGTACTATTAGTGCAAATAAAAAAGTACAACATAGAGAACTCAACTATTTTATTAGAAATACATTAATACAGCCACACATAGAGGAAATCCATTTCCAAAAGCTGACCTGGCTGTTTCTTCACAGATTTTAGATTAAATTAGTTTTTTTTTTTTTTTTTCTAGGCCAAGTACATTTTCTGTAAGTACGAAAAATATCTTGATTCTAACAGAATTACAATATAACTTTATGCACGCCGAGCTGAAATCTCAAACGATGTTGTCAGCTCTCACTATATCCTGATCTGTGAATGACAGAATAGAACTGATAAGGGGAGCATCTTTGTAGTCCAATCAGCCTAAGCCTGGTACACACAAGAAGTGTTTTTTCATTCAAATCAGTGGGCTGAATGAAAAAGAATGGAGAGATCACTGTGCTAACACAAGCAATATTAGTGCAGCAATCTCCTCCGCTGTGCTCCAACCCCCCCCCCCCCCCCCACCCCGAGAGCAAACCGATGGCTGCGAGTGCTGATCGAATGCCAGTCAGATGCTGGTTTCCCAGCATGTCCATTTGACAGAAGTCAGTTGTGAGACCAGCTTCTGTTGGACAGGCAGCTGTACACGAGCTGAAGGTATTCAGTTTTCTGCTGAACCAACTGATAGTGGCCGATATTCGGTCCACGTGTACTTGGCATTAGGGTGACTGTAGTTCTCCTCAATAGATAAAGTGCAGTGTGTGAGCATTGTCACCCTAGGGCAAGAAGTGTTACTCTCAGGATCACTAGGTATAAAAAATTAGCAGCACAGTGGCTAAATGGTTAGCATCTCCACCTGGCAGTACTAAGGTCATTGGTTTGAATCCCAACCATGGCACCACCTGCCTGGAGTTTGCAAGTTCTCCCTGTGACTGCATGAGTTTCCTCTGGGTACTATGGTTTCCTCCCACACTTCAAAGACATGCTGGTAGGTTAAATGGCTGCTGTCTAAATTGGCCCTAGTATGTGTATGTATGAATGTAAGGTAGGGACTTTAGAATGTATGCCCCTTGAGGGTTAGGGACTGATGTGCATATACAATACATATGTAAAGCGCTGCGTAAATTGACGGTACTATATAAGTACCTATGATAAATAAATAAGGAAAAAGTAGGTGTTTCTGAGATTAGATATGCTTTAAAAACACATTGACCATTTAGGAGTATACTGTTACCAAGGTGTAAAACTCTACCGTGCAATTTTTCTGCAGAACAAGCAGCGTTGTGAAAAAAACAGATCTAATGGAAGGATGAACAGGTAATGGGGGGCAGATGGGAACTCAACAATGAAAACTGCTATGTTAATGCTATTGAAAGAATGCATCAAATACAGTATGCCATTTTTTAATCTTGCCCATCGCACTACCTTAACTTCTTCTTTTAGATATGTGAGATTTTTGATCTTGTGACAAACACTCATTGTGTAATAATAACTGTTGAGCAACTTCCCTTTCTCTAAACCATGTAGATTTGCTATCTTAGAAACCTAAACTTTGTTGTTTTAGAAGATCTATGGCACAAGAACAAAATACTTCCAGATGTTTATCTATATCCGGTTGTTAAGCAGGAAGGCAGCCCATGCATTGATCTTTTTGTTTTTCATTTAACCAGCAGGTTGGACAAAAAAAAGTAAAGATCTGATTCCCCCATCAACACACTCTACGTGGATGGTGGAATCCTTTCCACTGTGGTATTGTATTCTAACAGCAGGAAGATTTCCCTGCTGTCAGAACCAGGGGCGGACTGACAACTCATGGGGCCCCCGGGCAATAGGAAATCATGGGCCCCCTGTGTTCTCTCCCACACTCAAACCACACACAAAAAAGCATATGAAAGGTACCAGGGGCATCCCATGGGGCCCCCTACTGACCCTGGGCCCTTGGGCAATGCCAGAGTGCCTAAATGGTCAGTCTGACCCTGGTCAGAACACAATGATACATGCTGCTGGCCATTGCCAGTGGCACTGATTGTTCAGGATAAACCCGACAGGTTAGTTGTACACAAATGGTACTATAGATTGACTTGTGTATAACCAGCCTGCCCACGCATGGATCAAAATTTGCCTGGTCCCTGCTGAATTGGCTGGCTTTAGAAAGGGGCCTCTGTAGACCGATGATTATGTGGCCAGTTGTGAGAAGTGGACAGCCCCTGAGGATCAAATATAGAGCTGCAACCCTAACCAAAGGCCTTCTAGCTGATTTCTAAACGTCTATGACTGAAATTTGAAGAAAAAGGTCAAGGAGTTGCAGATTTGACTGTCATCCCCTGGATAGGACCACAGTGTGGTTTTTCCACCAAAATTGGCCAATGCTTGAAAGTGTGCTTAAAAAAAAAGCCCTGTCCCTCTTTTTTTCTCCATTGTTGGAATGCACATTTTCAAATATCAGCACACATATGAAACAGTGATTTGATATACCTGGATAGTTGTCTGATATGGCAGTAAAGTTATTTTATTTATCAACGAGCTGTTGTCACTACTGAATGCACTTTATAATGTATTTCCACTTTTGCATTTTATTTTGAGAAAACCCCCACTATATTTTTTTGTGGTCTCAATCACATAGAATACTTTAAAAATATTTTAAATATTCTACTTGTTTCTTTTTTCCTAAATGAAAGATTTAATCTCCTGGAATAGAAATCATGCATAGCACCTTGCAGTGTTTTATGGGGATTATCTTCCCCATTAAGCATGTGCATTGCAGTTCCAGCAAAAGGAATCCAAATAAGAGTACTCTGAAGATACCATGCAGTGCTAATGATAACAACATCACCAAGCGAGCAAAGGGCAGACTGTACCCTAATGGTGGCCTGGCTCAAGGAACTTGCCTGCAGCATGATGGTGCCATCTGCTGGACTTTGTCCATGAATACAGCAGAATCATATGGAAAATGTGGATCAGACAAAAGACCTTTCAGGGATGTGTGATGCCAGAGTAAAGGGTTTCAACATACTGTAGGTGTGTCTAGGTATGAGTGAGGTCTTGTGTACTATAAAAACAGTAGCCAATCCTTCTTGCTCCCTTTCTGATGAGCCTTAGCCAAGATCCAGGACTTAAGCTAGCCAAAGATGAATCTGTTTTTTTTATTTAACAAGTAGGTTCAATGAAAAAAACTGACCCACTTCTCCATCCACACATTTGAGGTGGATTGGGAAATCATCTATGCTGTCTCTTTGTATTTTGACAGCAGGAAGAGTTCCTCTCCATCAGAATACACAGCTCATCGCTGTAGTCTATAGCCTGCAGCACTGAATATTCCAGAAGGGTGGTTGAAGAGAAGTCGATTGATAGAGCCACCTTTTTTTCAACCATAGTGGCCATACATGGATTAAAACTTTGGCCGATCCCTGATGAGCCAACTGAATTTTGATCCATGTATGGCCATATTTGGGAGAATAACTTTCTGTGCAACGCATTATCTTCTGCTCTTCCAATGTAATTATTACATAGTTAGTCTGGCCAAAAAAAGACAAAAGTCCATCCAGTTCAACCATTAAAAAAAAAGTTCTAATCCTATACCCACAGTTGATTCAGAGGAAGGCAAAAAAACCCAGCAAAGAATGATCCAATTTGCTCCTGCAGGGAAAAAAATTCATTTCTGATCTCCCGAGAAGCAATCAGATATTCCCTGGATCAACTTTACCTATAAATGTTAGTATCCAGTTATATTCTGTGTATCTAAGAAATAATCCAGGCCTTTTTTTAAAGCAATCCACTGAGCTGGCCAGAACCAACTCTTGAGGGAGTCTATTCCACATTTTACAGTTCTTACTGTGAAGAAACCTTTCGATATTTGGAAAATTAAATTTATTTTCCTCCAGACGTAAAGAGTGCCCCCTTGTCCTCTGTGAAGACCTCAGGGTGAATAGCTCTACATCGAGTTCACTATATGAACCACTGATGACTATTCTGTAACATTAATTTAGATCTGTTAATGTACTTAATAATGATGTATTTCTAAATAAATAAATAGTTGGCTTATTTTGTCACTTTGTGCCTCCAAAGATATGTCGTTGTTTGGGATCTAAAATTATTGCCTGTGGACATTTAGTATCCCCTTCACTGTATCACCAACAAAAGCCCATGTGGGTCACACTACCCAGTTGATTATGACCGCTGACCTGTCCGTGGGATCAGTGGTCCAACAGAAGTGGTCTGACACACCCCCCCTGCCTACCTCTGTGTACAGGTCTGCATCTGCCCACTCCTGTGCAGAGAGGGTGGGTATAAATGATTGAAACATGAAAATGACTGTACATGACCATAGCACCATTCAACCCAGCCTCACTGCAGAGAGGAATGTCCACTCCACAACACGCAGGGGAGAAAAGAACACTGGGATTTGTAGATAGCCATGGAGTTGCACGTTACAGGGTGACATTGAAATGCCTGCTACAAATGTCAGTATGGAGAAAAGCAGCAGGAAAGAAAAAAAACATGAAAACAGATCCAAAATAAATTGTCACGCTCTTCAGCAACACAACTGACTACAATATGAAAAAAAGGAAGATAAAACTGTGCTATAAAAAGGAAGAATTGTGAAAATGTGAAATTGATGCCAATTAAGCATTATAAAATATAAACAATATTTAAAAGTGAAGCTGAATTCCACATTACATTTATATTGGCTGCCTCTGTTCAAAATAAAATGTACATTTTGGGTGGGATAAAACCTAAAGGAAAACTTTACTTTTATTTAAAAAAAAAATATTTCTAAATAAATTGTTGGTAGGGTGTTGGACCTAAATTTCCAGTTTAATTTTGATAGCTGCTCTCTGTCAACTGGAGTGTTCTTGGGGTACCCAGAGAAGTCTGATGGAAGAAGGAGAGTGATACAAATCAAAAATAAATCCAGTAGATATCAGCTACTATGATTGTGGCCCTTGCTGGGTAATGTTTTGTACTAACTGATCATTGCTTAGCCCCTGCACAGGCGAATTATGTGTCTGTTCTTGCTCTTGCCATGTAACAATAAAAACACTGAAACAGAAAAATAAATACAGTAAATACAGTGCATTCATAAAATATTCAGACATGCTTCACTTTTTTCAATTTTGTTTTGTTGCAGACTGACACTGCAGTTGTTTTAAGTTCATTTTTTTCTCATTTATCTGCACTCTGTACCTCATAATGATAAAGTGAAAACAGAATTTTAGAAATGTCTGTGAATATATTAAAAAGAAAAAAAAACATGTACTTAAGTATTCAGAAGCACCTTTAGCAGCAATTACATCCTCAAGTTTTTTTGGGTATGACGTGACAAGTTTTGCACACCTGGATTGGGGGATCTTCTGCCACTCTTCTTTGCAAATCCTTTCAAGCTCTGTTAGGTTGGATGGGGACCATTGGTGGAAGATGAACCTTCAGGCCTGTCTGAGGTCCTGAGTGCTGTGGAACATATTTTCATTAAGGATATCTCTTTACTTTGCTCCATTCAACTTTCCTTCAACCTTGACCACTCTCCCAGTCCCTACTGCTGAAAAGCACCTCAACAGCATGATGCTGCCACCACCACGCTTCACTGTTTGGATGGCATTGGGCAGGTCATGAGCGGTGCCTTGTTTCTTTCAGACATAATGTTTAGAATTGAGGCCAAACAGTTCAATCTTGGTTTAATCAGACCATAGAATCTTGTTCCTCGCAGTCTTGTTCCTCAGGTGCCTTTTTGCAATTGGGCTTTCATGTGTTTTGGAAAGACTTCTGTCTAGCCACTCTGCCATAAGGCCCAGATAAGTGGAGGACTGCAGTGATGGTTGTTCTTCTGGAACTTTGTCCCATCTCCACACACTCCATGCTTTCTGCTCCACTCTGGAGCTCAGTCAAAGTAACGATTGTGTTATGATCCGCCAGGCGGAGCCTTCCGGCTGCCAACTGATAGACCAACCCAGAGCGTGGGGTCTAAGCCCGGGCTGTGCCTTCACCAGGGCCCCTGATGGTGGGGATGGACTGAAACAGTCCCGGGCCAGGTCACGACCTCCGGGCGGGCCCACCAGCGGCCGGGAAGGCCTCCGGGGATGCGTGTAGGTACCGGGAGAGAGCCAGATATGAGGCGGATGACGGTCCCAGAAGGGTGGCACGGATAGTGGTCCCGTGGGGGGTAAGCGGGGTACCAAATCAGCGGGCAAGGAGTAGTCAGGTCACATGCAGGGTCAGCCAGGTAAATCAGTCCGTAGAATAGTCAGGATATCCGAGTCAAAACGCAGGAGCAGGCAGAGTAGTCAGGACAAGCCGGGTCAAACACAGGGGCAGGCAGCGTAGTCGGGGTTGAAAACAGGGTCACAGAACAGGAGCAGGTATCCAGGATCACATAAGACCTTGCGGCAATGGGTGACAGTGCAGGGCATCTTTAAATAGTGCGCCCTGCACTGTCATTGGCTGGCTGGGACGCGCCCCCGGCTGTCATTGGACGCCTGAGGCGCGCCCTCGACTCTCTACTGCGCATGCGCGGCGTCCTGTCAGCCGCGGCTCGCCGCCAGTGCGCATGCGCGGGGGGGACGGCGCCGTGATGCAGGATTCCGGCGCCGTGATCCCTGACACTGCCCCCCCCCAATGGGCACCCTCCGGGAGCCCCACTGATCTCTCCACCGCGGGTGTCCACGAAAAAAATTCCCGGATGAGCCGGGGGGGAGCGTGAAATGTTCTGGGCGGGTTCCCATGAGTTCTCCTCAGGGCCATAACCCTTCCATTTTATCAGGAACTGGGTCTGGTTCCCCCTCCGTCGG